CTTGTTTTTCATTTTGAACTCATTTCAGTATTTTCAGATACTCAGATATCATATGTACTCTGCAGTTGACCACTTCCTTTTCTTGCACCTTTGCTGGTCCAACTCTGTTACCAACCTTGCTCTGGCAGGCAGTTGAGATGGAGACTCCTGGTCTCCCGATGAGGCTAAGTGAAGATAAGTGCAAATTACGAGAAATCTGTTCTCAAGAGCTGAGTCTGCGTAAACATACTTGTGGGAGAATGCCTGGATGAACACTGTTTAATTGTTTCTGCTGAGGCCTACACACAGTTACCTCTATCAGCAGCCACATAAAATTGTTTCCGAATCATCCACTCAAATTTCCAAAGAGACAGAGAACCCAAAGTGCTGTTTGATGGCCAAAAGCATTCAGATAAAATAGTTTAATAGTGAAGTGTCTAGATTCACAAAATGGGACATATTAAAAACTAGAAGTTGCACTGAGTCAAATGATGTCCCAAGCTTGATTCTATTCCTCTGATTCAGGCAGTTTTTAGAGGGGTAACAGATTTGGGTGGGACCTGTACGGTAACTTAGCTAAGCCTCTTGCCTGTGGTGCCAGTGTCCTATATAGGCGCCGACTGGAGTTCTGGCTGCTCCACCTCAAATTCAGCTGCCTACTAATGTTCTGGGAAAGCAGAGGATGGTACAGGTCCTCAGATCCCTGCACCGTGTTGGAGACCTTGAGGAAGCTCCTCACCCCTGGCTTTGCACTGATCCAGTTCCAACCATTGTAACCACTGGAGGAGTGAACCAATGCATGGAAAGTCTTTCTCTTTCTCTAATTCTGTCATTCTGATTAAAACAAAGAGGGAAATCTGAGAAATGAGTCAAGTGATTGAAAAAACCTCTTGCCCCAAATGTTAGAATTTATAGAACATGGTAGTATCGGATTCTGATTGTACAATTTGTAATTGCTACATACACTGTGTGATAACATGATGGAAATGGTATTGGGGCTTGAATAATTGACATGTTTTTAAAAGTTTATTTGTTTCATTTGAAAAAGAGCACACATCTTCTCTCTCAATGTCTACAACAGTTAAGGCTGGTCCAACCCGAAGCCAAGAATCAGGAACTCCATCCACGTCACCCACTTGGGTGGCAGAGGCTACTTGTGTTGTTTTCCCAGGCTTGTTAGCAGGAAGTCAGATAGGTTGTCACAGCCAGGACTTGAATTGACTCTGATATAGGACTCCAACCTTGCGGATGGTGGCTTGTCAATATGATCTATAATTACTAGTGGTTCCTGCTTAATTTCTTGATTTTTTTTTTTTTTGGACCTTGAAATAAGGAAGAATGTATACATGTATAGATTTGACATTAACTAGTATGTGATATACCCACAGGAAAAAATCAAATTTTACCTTGTTTGTGCAATTTAAGAGAAAAAATGTCCTAAAGGGAAAAAAAATGTTGAGTTTTTTTCTTGCTCTTGATTCATCCTATTCAGTCTCTGCTTAGTCCTGCTCTTTTGCTTGTATGGATCTAAGAATTATAAAGATAAATCAGGAACAACTAACTATCCAAACAAGTGAATCAATTCTGAAACTTTGTTTATCTAGCTTTCTGATGGGATACAAAGCCAGTTTGTGGTACTTTCATAATGACCCTCAGTTTTATAATACCAGCTACAACAGTATAAAGTGAGGGAAGCTTAGATGATCCTTAAAGCATTTACTGTTCCTGAAAATTTGAGTGAATCCAGGAACAATCTTTAACAAAATGATTGCTGATGTCCAGAAGGTATTTGTGGTTGAAGATGAATGAGATGGGAGCGTTTCTTTGAACAAAACTTAACTTCTCCAGGAATGGAGGACAAAGTTAATGTGCATTTCTACCAATAGAACAAAGTTGAAAGAGGTTACAAATAGTGTTGGGACATGAGAAGGGGGTGGCTTACTGATGTTTAGCTTTGAAAGTTTTCTTAAGGGCATATTTTGGTTTGAGTTACAGGTTAAGGTGTGATGACAGGGGTAGAGAATGAATGAAAGAGGAAAGGAGAGAGTGGGAGAAATATTAAATCTATATCTTTATTCCCTGGATAGCTGCAACAATTTGAGTTGGGCTAGGGTGAAGCTAGGCGTTTCTTCTTGGTGTTCTGTATGAGTGGCAGAGACTCAATTATTTGGGTTTCCCACTGATTTCCTATGCGCATTAATAGGAAGCTGGACTTAGGAAATGAAACAGCTGGCACAAGGACTAACACTCATAGGGGTGGCTGGCATTACAGGCATCTTAACCAGCCACAACTCCCAGCATCCAGGAAGAGAATTCTCTAAGCCTTAGCCTATGTTGGCTTCTCAGCTTAGAGTGGTCACTCTACCTCTTGGTTGCTAAAAAGTAGAGAATGGATGGTGATTTAAAAAAATACAATTTGAAAGCCCTTGATGTCATGTGAATTCATCCATATTCATCCATATTCTCCCCTATTCGTCCCTTCCAGCACAGTAAATATTCAGTGTTTTTTTTTTTTCCTGAGGGGATACAATTAACTTGTAATTGTACCTTTTCACTGAGCGCCATGCAATATTCTAACACAAGTGTGCAGTGTAAACTAAAGTCATGCAGTCGGCATTTTCATGTATCTTTTGAGGTGTTTCTCTCTTCCTGTTCACATAATTGATAATGCATACCAGGTGCTGTTTTATCCAAAGCTGTTCTGGTCCTCTTTATCTTCCTCTCTCCACCTACTCTTTCTCCCCAGTCTCTGGTAATCACGGTTGCTGTTCTGATCAACTATTTTTAACTTCCACACGTGAGATAAAGCAGTTATTCATTGTTATCTGAACTTTGTATGTGAGCTTTAAGTTTTCTTGGTTTTTGGTCTGCTTTATACCCAGCAAGTATCTGGCTTGAACCACATGTCTAAGGAACTTTATATATACAGCTCAATTCTTTGTTAGTCCATGAGGACATGCCTGGTTTTCTGTCCCATGGATTCTGCCCAGTGCTTAGGACAGGACAGTTTAAGGAGAATCTTCTGAGGAAGGTGATCTAGGTGACTGTCAAATCTTCAGGTGTTTGTCTGTGTGTGTGTAGATTGCATATATCCATCAGTCATTTATTTTACTTTTTAAAAAATTTATTGGAAAATGAGATTGACGGGAGGAGAGGGAGAGATCCATCTGCTGATTCACTCCCCAAGTGGCTGCAATGGCCGGAGCTAAGCTAATCTGAAGCCAGGAGCCAGGAGTTTTTTCTCTGTCTTCCATATGGGTGCAAGGTCCCAAGGCTTTGGACCATCCTCTACTGCTTTCCCAGGCTGGAAGAAGGGCTGCAGCGATACAGACTGGCACACACATGGATTCTGGCGTGTGTAAGGCAAGGACTTAGTCCACTGGGCTACCACACTAGGCCCTAATTCTACTTTTTTTTTTTTTAATTTCATTTTATGACAGTTTCATAGGCTCTGGAATTCCCCTAATCCCTCCCCATGACTTCTCCCCATGGTGGATTCCTCCACATTGTTGCTGTATTACAGTTCAAATCCAGTGATGATTCCTTCATTGCAAGCATGTACCATGCATAGAGTTCCAGCATCTTATTGTCCAGATAAATTCAACAGTTTCTTGGAGACCATTGCTGGTCTGAAAGCAGAGCTGGCAGAATATCATCCCGTCCAATGAAAAGCCACAACATAACAACTTACAACATTATTAATTGACATGGTATTGAGTGACCAATATTTTAGAAAATGCAAGTTCTTAACCACATCCTGTGACTACTTCATTGACATTTCAATTTTAGTTTATACACAACCGGCTGCCATACACCTTAAAATGGCTATAGGGTACTATTCAGCTGTCTCATGTCTATTTTCATTTTTAGATTTAGCAGTTTATAGTATTGAAGCATAATTTTTACTGAACTTGGTGAATTTTAGGATAGTCCAAGCTGGCTTATAACTCTAACAAGGCATATGTCAACAGTTGAGGTGCAGAACAGTTTTAGGAGGGGTGTGCAGAGAAATCTTCAATACCTTAGTGAGGAGTGACTAATCTCTGTGTCCCGCCTAGTGAGGTATGTGTGAGTCCATGCTGCATTTTGGTCATTTGTATCTTCCACATGACAAATACCGCAGTGTTTAATCTGCCACAAGCCATGCGTGCTTCAAAAATTAAATGATCGTGTGGACAAATTCTGAGTTCATCCATTCTCTTTGAAATATTGGCACAAACTAGCATATCCCAATATCTTTTGAGATAATTCTTCAATGTCGTGTGAAACTTTTAAAGCTAATGAAACATAATTTTTGTAGACCTTTATGTAAAGGTAAACATACATAACTGAACTCAAACAGCTTTTATTTTTATTATGCTGTACATATGTTAAGTTTATTAAAGATTTGTGTGAATGACATTTGGAGAGGGGCGAGATGGAGGTCTTCCATCTGCTGGTTCTAGCTGACAGTGGCTGGGGCTGGACCAGGACTAAGCCAGGAGTCAAGAGCTTCATCGTCCAGATCTCTGCCTGAGGAAAGGGGCCCAACTACATGGACCATCTTCCACTGCTTTTCCCAGGCTGAGTCTTGAACTTGTACACGCACAAGATGTTGGTATTGCAGGTTGTATCTTCACCCATGGTGCTACAATGTCAATGCAGGCCTCACTCTGTCTTTTTAATTAACATAAGAAAGCTTTGAAGATGAAAACTAGAGAGTTTATCCAGAAGGCTACTCAGGAGCTAAACTAGCAGAATACTCCATTTTCTGTATTCACCTCTCAGTTCATATGTTTCCTAGGAAATTTTCTGCGGCCAATAGGCTGATCTCAACCTTGTTCCCCATCTGCCAGAGGGGGGTTGAAGTCAGAATTCAAAGCATGCGAATGACATCCATTATTGAGTCTGTTTGAAATGTCTCTACACACATACCTGCCAGAAAGATAAGGCGGCTCCAGAGGCTCAGTCAGCTTCATTGGCCCAGAGGCTAAGTGTGCATCATTAGATATTCTGAAATAATAGCTAACAAAACTTAACAGAGTGTGCTGTCATTTTCATGCTGAATAATAATTCAGATAATAAAATGTTAAATGTAAAAAGAGCCACTGTTTCATGGGAAAATAATCTTGAAGATTTGGTAGAAGATGAAGATTTGGCTGAGGATCTAGAAGAAGGTGAAGAAACTCAAAATAAAGAAATGGAACTTAGTGATGAAGATTTGGATAGAACTGTGGAAGATAAGACTTTACTTAACTGCAAGGAGAACAAGGTAGGTATTAAAAACTTATTGATTGGGGCCTGGCAGCGTGGCCTAGTGGCTAAAGTCCTCACCTTGAATGCACCAGGATCCCATATGGGTGCCGGTTCTAATCCCGGCAGCTCCACTTCCCATCCAGCTCCCTGCTTGTGACCTGGGAAAACAGTTGAGCATGGCCCAAAGCTTTGGGATCCTGCACCCGCGTGGGATACCCGGAAGAAATTCCTGGCTTCTGGCTTCGGATCCGCATAGCATTGGCCATTGTGAATCATCAGATGGAAGATCTTCCTCTCTGTCTCTCCTCCTCTCTGTATATCTGACTTTCCAATTTGAAGTTCATTAGCAATTTTTATAAATAACTTTAAAAATGTTTTAATGGTATATATTTATTGGCATACAGAGTTAATAGTTCTTAAGGTTTCCTCTCCCATTTTTTCAATCATACGTTGACATTTTTTGTATCTCAAGTTTATGTTTTGAAAAATTTTAAGCCTATAAAAATGCTAGTATAATGAGTAGTTGGGTCACCAATTGTTGTCATATTATAAATATGTAAGTAAAGATTCTTTTGCTTGTAGGTAAAAACCTATACAAAATTATACCTTAAAACTAACTATGATGGTATTTATTTTCTAAGAATGAGAAATTTTCCTCATAATTTCCATGACTGTTCTTTCACCTAAGAAGCCTAATATTGATGTAACAAAGCTATCTGTTAGGCCACCCATCCTGAGATTTCTCTGGTGGTATTAATATAGCTTGAATAACCATTTAATTTCTGTTTACAAAAAAACATTGATTTTAGCATCACGTTTGTGTAGTCATTTTTAATCTAGCGTTGATATCTTTTAGAAGTAGAGGCTATCCCTACTAATGAAATTCACAGTGTTGGGTTTAAGTGGAATAGTAGTTCCTGGTGGATAATACATGAGGCAAATTTACTTTTTTCTTAGTTCAGCTGAGCATTGAGATGTTTGAGTTTGTTTTTCATGTAGGTCTTCCTATGAGGTGGAGAGATTACAAAGTAATGAATCTGCAAATGCCAAAAATTTAGTGAGAATGCAATTTTTAAAAAGGATACGTAATTGTGGTTGATTAGATAAAAATTATTTTTGAAATAGTTGGACAGTATTTGGGTTATGTTTATCCTTTTATAAGAATTCTAATATTTAAATATTTTAGAAACTATTGAATTTAATAGAAGAACTGAAAAAAAAACTGATAAATGAAAAAAAAGAGAAGTTAACATTGGAACTTAAAATTCGAGAAGAAGTTACACAGGAATTTACTCAATATTTGGCTGAACGTGAGGCTGACTTTAAGTAAGTTGTTTCTTTGATGATTTAGTAAAAACTGAGAATTTCATTGCCTTGTTTCCTTTTCTTGCTTTCTGAGTTCTCATTTCTTTTCAGTAGTTTGAAAATAGCTTTTACTAATCGTCTTACATGAAGTTTGTTTTAATCTGTACTAGCCCTTGGCAGTGTAGCATTCTGTTCTGTTTTTTAAATGGAACTAATTTGTGTAATGCAGAGAAGCAATCCTTCAGGAACGAGAGATGTCAGAAGAAAATGCTGAATGCCGTTTGGCGATCTTCAAGGAATTGGTTGGTGTATGTGACATTCAGGAAGAACCAAGCAATAGAGTTTGTGCTGTGAAAGTTGAAACTGAGGTATTGTATCTCAAATGCTAGATTTCCAGGGAGAGTTTGATAGCAGGATATAATATGTGGTGGCATTATTGATGAGAAACATTAGTTTAGAATTAACGCAAAATAACTCTTTTTTTTTTATTATACTTATATCTGTTTTGTTAGGAATGTTAATGCAAATTGTTTTGATATTGCTTGAGTCATTATATGGACTGACAAAGAGGTTCAGTGTTTTTAATTATAAGAAACCTTCCCCAGCTTAGTCTTAAACTTCCAGTTTTTAAATTAGACTATCTAAAGATATAAGGAACTCTAAAAGGAGTAATTTACTTACTGTTTTGATTACCACAAAAATATTTGTTCTTACTGAATAATTACAGCTTCCTAGTTTTAAGGAAAATTTATCCTTTTCTGCTGTTTCCTCAGAAAACTGACTAGGTTTTCTTGGGTTTTCTAGGTTTTTTTGTTGTTGTTGTCACTTTTTAAATAGTTACGTTAATTTCAAAGTCAGAATTAGAGAGAAAGAAGGAACTATCTCCCATCTGCTGGTTCACTTCCCAAATGCCTCCAACAGCCAGAGGGTGTGCCAGGCTAAACCAGTCCCCTGGAACAGCATCTGGGTCTCCCAGATGGGTGGCAGGAGGTGGCCCAAGTGCTTTGGCCATCTTGCTTTGACTGCTTTGTGGAGTGCATTGGAGGGAGCTGCACTGGAAGCAGAGCAGCCAGGACTCAAGCAGGCCCCGATAGTGTGGAAATCCAGTGTTGGAAGCAGTGGCTTAACGTGGTGCACAGGGCCGCCTGCACCACTTGCTTGCTTTGTCGTCACTCAGTTCAGGGACCTGTGACAGTGATGTCTAGACTCTTGCTGTCATTTCACCATTCTGTGTCACTGCTATGATTTGGAATTGAACTGAGTTGTTTAAATGAAGATTAGTTTTCTTGGCTATTCTAACATAGTCTTTTAAGTATCGTTATTTATTTGAGATGATACCTAACTAACTTACCATAATTGTATAATTTTCACTGTTTCGGACATTTTCCCTGTGACATTTTAATGAGGAAAAATGATTCTGTTCCTTAAAAAATCAGTAGTAGAATGAAATTTTTTTTTTTCCATTGGGGGCTTCTATATGATTTGCCTAAAAGGCTATCATAAGTTTTTGGCTGTTTCTAAAGCTCTGTGTATTATGTGGTAACACGTCAGGGTGAAACCCAGGGTTAACATTAGGCATGTGGTTTTTGCTGTTTTTAGGAAGCACATAATTATGTAGGATTTGAAGATATTATTGACTCTCTTCAAGATGATGTCACTGATATTAAGAAACAGGCTGAAATTGCTCACTTATGCATTGCATCTCTTGCTGATCCCCAGGAAGCCATGGCTTGTTTTCAACTAAAGTTAAGTCAAGTTAAAACTGAATTAGATAAAATTAAAGAAGAATTAATCAAAACCAAAGAAGAGTTAAAAAAGAGAGAGAATGGTAAGTAGATGTATTTTACTCCTTTGTAGATATTATAAACATATAAAATCTGATAAATATAAGAGAATTACACAACTTATTTATTACAGTGACCAGGAAATTCCTTAACCTAGGGTAGTAAGTTTTAGTATGTAATCATTTATATGAATTTATACAAATTTGCTACAAGAAATATATTTGACCATCACGTATTTCACTAGTTTTTGGGAAATAGTTAGTTTTAAAGGCAGAAAGCACTCCCATCTATTAGTTTACTCCCTAAATGCACACAACAGCCATAGGAAGGCTTGGTCTGTGGCTGCGTATTGGCATTCAATCCAAATTTCCATTAGGTGACAGGAACCTAATGGGCCTGTCTACAGCTCCCTCCCAGAATCTGCATGACTAGGAACCTTGAATCAGTCCCAGGTTCTCCCATGTGATAGAAAGGTTTCTGCCATCTTAACCTATAGGTCAAGGACTTTTCAAGAGAAAGTATTAGCTTTTTCCGTAAATGAAGAAATTATTCTTCCATATTCTTTATGCATTCTAGTGTAGGAGATTATGCTCTTGGCTTACAAGTTTGAAATAGACTAACTCCTATGGGGTGGCTGAAGCTAGATTGGAGGTTTGTTCTGTCTTTGAGGATATCTTACATTTGTAGGAGGGTACTTCAAAATTTTAACGGAAAAAGGAAAAGAGAAAGTCTGTATTGAAGTAAAAGTTTTTGAAATACAGATAGTTTTTTTCATAATACTCATTTTCCATTAGTGGTTTTGAAGTATCTTTCTGTATGATTAGTTGCAACATTTGGAGTTGGAGAAAATTGGATAAAATCATCTTCCCTTTTCTGTGTAATACTAGATGGGTAGAGAAACAGCCGGTAAGTGATGCTTCTGCCTTTGGAGTGGACCAGGAAAGCCCTGACTCTGTCTCTTCTCTGGTGTCATGCCAGTTCTCTACTACTTAACGTGTCACTCATTTTTATCCTGGGTTTTGAAAGTATCATTTTTCTGAAACATTATTCTCTTGTAAGACGAATGCTGTGCCTTTGTAATGCTGTCAAAATTCTTTTTCCTGAATGTAATGCTGATAAAAGTGTCCACTATAGAAACTTGTGTTTCATGAGTTTAGTCATCGTTTCTTAGATATGAACTTATTTTCAAAATTCTTTGTTTTTTCAGAATCAGATTTATTAGTCCAAGGGCTGAAGAAATCTAGTAAGGTAATACTTTAAGCTTTTTTATTTCTTTGTTTTGATGAGGAGTAGAAGAGTACAGTTTATTACTACAAATGTTTATTTTAAAACCAATTACAGAAAAAGTAATGAAGACGGTGATAACAAAATTGAGAAGTCTAAGTGCCTTCACCTTTATACTGCTTTTCAGTGATGGTCATTGGGAAGATTCTATAAGCCTTATGGGAAATTTGTGGACATATATAGAAGGATACATATGTCTTAAAAAGTTTGCATAAGTAGAGTGATTTTCTGCTTTGCTTTCTTCCTCTCTAAATTATGTCTTGCAAATTATTCTAAAGCAATACCTACAGATATGTATCCTTCCTTTACTGAATTCATTAAAACCAACAATAAAAAGGGAGTCCAGTGTTGTATTACCACCGGCTAAGTCTCCCTGCATTGCTGGTATCTTATGTAGGAGCCAGTTTACGTCACAGCTGCTCTGCTTCCAGTTCAGCTTCCTTCTGATATTCTGGGAAGGCAACAAAAGATGGCCCAAGTGCTTGGGCGCCTGTGAGCCATATGGGACACCTCGATGGAATGCCTGCCATCTGGCTTCAGTTTGACCCAACCCATTTTATTGGCCATTTGGAGCATTAACCAATGGATGGGAGATCTCTCTCTGTCCAAGCAGCATCTTAGCCACTGTCCACATGTGTATTCCCTTAACTCCTTATTACTTGTGTTATATATATATGTATGTGTATATATGTATGCATGTATACAGACATACACATATATAAAACCCACTACCTTATGACCTAATGTTATTTTATCTGCATGTTCTGAAATTTGCATATTTTATGATGTAAAATGGCAATAATGTCAAACTTCTCACAGCCTATGCGGTCTGGGGTTTGAACAAGCTCCATCCCTCAGTCAGCAGGTTTTAAAGTTTCTGGGACTGCAGCAGAGGTGAGTGTCAGGTGGCACTGTCTGCTTTTGAGTTATTTACTCAGCACTAATGAATGCTTGCACGCGTATTGGAGTTTATTGTTTGAGGCTGCTTACTGCACAGTTGGTTGTGCGAAGAGATTTCCGAGGAAAGGTGAAGTTCTTCTGGGAAACTAGATCACCAAGCAAAGTTAATCTTCTCTGAGAAACAGATCTGTTAGTGTGAATGAATTTGATGATCAGTCATTGAAAATCCCACCAAAGATAAAAGTGATTACTCACTGTAAAGAGTTTCTTTAATAAAACATTGTCTTCTACTTTTATTTGTATTATTTTTAGATTTATATTTATTTGAAAGGCAGAGTTATAGAAGGAGAGAACAAAGGAGAGAGAGATCTTCCATCCTCTGGTTTATTGCCCAAATGGCTGCAGTGGCCATTGCTGGGCCAGTCCACAGCCCAGAGCCAGGAGCTCTGGGTCACCCACAGATGCCCAACTGCAGACATCCAAGCCCTGGACCATCCACTGCTTTCCCAGCTGCATACCAGGGAGCTGGGTTGGAAGAGGAGGAGCTGCGACTTGAACTGGTGCCTCTAGGGGAACTGGTGCATCAACCGTGCCTACTGGCCGCAGCAGCATCCCCTAAAACACTGTTTGCTACTGTGTCTTGAAATTGTATGTTATAACTCTATCATCAACCTTCTGTAACTCACTGAGAATTCGCTTGATTTATGTTGAATTTAGAGTTCTGTGAATAACCTTGAAGTGTACAGAGGTTCTCATTAGACACGAATTAGCTCTATGTTACTAAAAGCTTTTGAGGTAAAATTACTTTAATAATTATTCACCATGATTATTGGGAGCACTCCCTGTTTGGAAGTGAGGATGTGCAGTCATCAAGGAATGAGAATCTAATAAGACAGATGTGTCGATGGCAAACTGGATCATAAAAACGAAGAGAGGCTGTGAGGGAGGGAGAAGGGAAGAGAAGGATACTTGCATATGCAAAGATAACATGAGCCATTCCTTTTTTCTGGCCTTTCCTTGATTGTTCTAGGTAGTTTCAAGTAATTAGCATTGACTAATATAAACTGTAAAGCTTGTGGAAAATCTCAGCATGAATCTGTAAAGTTTTTTAATCTGTAAACAAGGTTTGATTCTCATTTGCATGAAGTCATACATCGTAAAATTTCTTTTAACCCTAAGTATGTATTTTCCTAAATTTTTAAAATTTCAATTTCCCATTAGTAATTCTAGAAGTTGCTATATGTTTCAGAGTTTTGGAGAATCTTATTATAATGCTGTCTTCCATTTTCACCTTCATAAACTCAGCATGCCGAACTTGGCTGAAAACACAAAATGACTCATTCATATTCCACTGTACTGAGCTTGTGACTTTTGTGGGCATGGTATCTCCTCGTACAGTGGCAGGATTCTAAGATGGGGCATCGGGCAGTGTCCTGAACCTTAGCATTCCCAGAGAAAGGGAAGACAGCCTGAGGACCATCAAATTATTTCTACTACATTCTATGAAAATTTGCTAATACAGCCAAGACTCCATCTCTAGGTGGCAACACCAACAATGAATATGCAACTGGCTTTAAATGTGCATAACTGTAGTGCATGTTCAAAGTCCTGGACTGTTTTTAGAGATTTCTGATCTGATAGATTTGTGGTAGAGTGCAATAATCTTTTTTTTTTTTAAAGATTTATTTTATTTATTGGAAAGTCAGATATACAGAGAGGAGGAGAGACAGAGGTGTATTGCTATGTAGTATTTGAAAGATGAATCTGAATTAAAACACGTTATGCCTTTTATACTTCTCAGGTACTATTTATGATGTATGTGAAAAATTCCCATCTTCTCACGGGACTGCTAAGCTTCAACACAATTGACACTTTGGCATGGATACCTAGGGGGCGGGGGTGCTCATTGCATGGGTAACCTTAGCCTCTGCCCAGTGGTGGCCAAGAACAGCTTGCTGTTCCAGGCAAATCAAAATATTTCTAGACATTCCTCGTGTCACCTGAGGTCAAAATCACCCTCAATTACAAACCACTATTTTAAATGGCAATACATGTGTAGTATTTTATGGATTTCCTTTTCTGAGTCTAGAGAAGCAGCACTTTGTCAGGAAGTTAACCCTTGGTCTCATTCATTATTTGTAGGACTTTGTGAAATGTGAGAATAAGAAGAATGCTACTCCCAGAAGTAATTTGGACTTCCCTGTTTCAGAGCATAGAAATTCTTCCATCAAAAAAGAACAGAAGGTTTGTCTTCATTGTCAAGAACATTTCTGTAACTTTAACTTATGTATATTTAAACCAGGAGATAAATAAAGATAGCAAATTCTGATCAGTACTTATCTAGAATGCCAGGTGTGCCCGGTATAACTCAGTTATCTTCCCTCTCCTGGGGGCTGTCTCTGCTTGGGAAGGAACCTAAAGCATTTGATCAATATGGGCACTGCTGATGTCATACGTGCCCGGTGAGGCTCCTCTTGCGTTTCTACACGAGAATTCATAACCTATCTGTGGCCTCTTTAATTCACCTGCAGCCATCACTTGTTTCCTCTGGCATTCCTCCTCAACAGTAACAAAAACTCTTCGTTTATTAGGTTTCCATACGTCCATCACCTAAGAAAACATACTCTTTACGGAGTCAGGCACCCACGATAGATGTAAACTTGACCACTAAGAAAAAAGAAGGAACATTTCAGAAATTTGGAGACTTCTTACAGCGTTCTCCAACAATTCTTCAGTCAAAAGGTTTGTAATGCATGGTGATCTTTCCATGAGATGTAGAGTACATTCTCATCTCTCATGAGCACATAGCCTCAACAGCTGCTTAGCGGATATCGCACTTTAAACAGGCCTGGTCCTGCATTGTGTACAATGAGAAGAAGTAGTTGAAATGATGAAATAGCCAGGTGTTTGCTGACAGTGCAGGAGAAAGGCTTTTACCACCTGCGGAGACCCAGTAAAGGACAGGAGTGTGGATGCAGTTTGAGGCAGCAGTAGGTGTCCTGCTCGTGGCAGGTGGAAAGCCCTTCGCGGGGGAGCGTGGACGATGAGGTGTTTTGGGGATTAGACGAGTGGAGCACTAGTATGAACTGGACACCAGGGGTGGGGAGAATGGGCAGGGTAGGGAAAGGGCCTGGCAGTGGGAGACATTAACTCAGTGAAACGGATTGTGTGATTAATATTTGCTATGAAAAACGACCCAGAGCTTCTCAAACGTCTTGCTTAGGTGCCCTTTAACTTTGAATAATCATTTTCTTTGTACGGTTATTTACAAAAATCACTCTGACCATTAGAACCTAAGGTGAAAGGACCATGGAAAGATTTGCTTGTGAAAGTCTAAAGTTCCAAAAATATGTCATCATTAGAAGGAATATGGTGTCATCTGGAACCTGTTTTGAGCTAGTCAGTGTCACTCTTTCCGGTGAAGATTGAAAACACCCTGATGTGTTCCTACAAGTCAGCTTCGTGTTCATCCACAGTTTGGGGGATTCAGATTTGTGAGGCCTCTTGGCTGTCCTTTTTTAATTAAAAATTTTTTGTGAGATAACACATTCTCATGTTCAATTATAGCCAGAGACTCAGCCCCACTAAATGGCTGAACCAACAGCAAAATGATCATAGTTCAGCAGGACCACAGGCATGAACTTTTAGATACGGAGCGTCAAAACTATCAGAGTATGCCTGACAGATTCAATACAGTTTGACAAAACATACTGTATTCGTAGCAAACCCTTCTCTTTTTTCTTAAGGATTTGTTTGACTTTTATTTGAAAGGCAGAGTTACAGCAAGAGGGAGAGATGGATCTGCCAGGCTGATTCATTCCCTAGAGGCCACAATGGCAGCAGCTATTCCAGGTCTCCCGGGTGGGTGCAAGGGCCTAACGACCGGAGCCCTCTCCACTGCTCTCCCAGGCCTTCAGCAGAGAGCAACCAGGACATGAACTGGTGCCCATGTAGGGTGCTGGCACTTGCAGGCAGAGGATTGGGCAACTAAGCCATCACACCATCCCCGATGTTCACTGGACACCTTCACACATGAATAGGTACATCTAGTACCTTACTATTTTAAATTGTGCATAGTTGCCTGGTTATGAGTTTACTGTTGCAGAAACCTCTTTCAAGTGACAAACGAATTAAAGATGATTGTGTTACAAATTATCATGTCGTTTTAAGATGATGAAACATTAGATAAGTTGTATTTTGTTGGGCCAGGTTTGTACATGAGGTTAATCTGCCCCCTGACGTGCTTCCATGTATGTTCTGGTTCATGTCTAACTACTCCAGTTTGAATCCAGCTCCCAGTAATGGCCAGTGTGTAGACTGCTGCCGTGCACATGCAGACTGGACAAAGCCCCTGACTCCTGGCTTTGGCCTGGCCCAGCCCTCGTCACTGCAACCATTTGAGGAGTGAACCACCAGATGGAAGATCTGTCTCTCCCTGTGTTTGTAACCCTTTCAAATAAATAGACAAATCTTTAAATTTATATATGTATATCGTTTATCTTTTTGTTTCCTTTGCTATTGTTCCATGCATTTTTTAGGCATTTAATTTTTCCTGTTTGTGAATTCTCTGTTTATGTCCTAATACCAGTTCATATTATAGTATTTTTCTTTGAATTTGTATCTGTTGTTTCTTTATTAAGGACTTCAAGCTTTGCAATAACAAAATAATTTAATTCAGAAATTAATATTTTTATTTTATAGCAAAGAAGATCATTGAAACAATGAGCTCTTCAAACCTCTCAAACGTAGAGGCAAGTAAGGAAAATGTGTCGCGACCCAAACGAGCCAAACGGAAATTATACACAAATGAAATCTCCTCGCCTCTGGATATATCTGGCCAAGTGGTGAGCTGGCGTTTCACTCTTCATCAGTATAAACTTCCTGTTTTTTTGTTTTGTTTTGTTTTCTCAAGAATTCCTAATGTTAGTGGTACTGATGATTTGAATCTCTACTGTGTAGACCATATTTCTTAAGACAGCCAGTGCTGGCGATGCACCTTTATCATAATGACACATAGACACCTCATCAGTGTAAACAAGTGTCAGGCTTTTTGTATTTGACAGTTTATCATAGGAATATATTTTCATTAGTAAAGTTGTTGCTATTTTGTAATTTTTTTGCATCTACCATTAATTTTTTTTTATCTTTATCATGAACCTTGTATAAATGTGGGCCCAGATGCGCCTGGTAAGAAGATGCAGCTGACATGTGGCTGTGTCCTCGCACCCTGGCCGAGAGCCCTCCAGGTTCTGCTCGGGAGATGGTTGTCGCCCTCCTGTATGGCTCCTCCTCTTCACGCAGGACCTTCTGTCATTAGAAGGAATGCTCAAACTTTTCTGTAATTCTCTTGTTTGCTTAGTGGATGAAAGTAAAGGCAGAAAAGTAATTAAAGGATAAAAAAATATTCAAAAGGAAGTGGTCAAGAAGAGCCAAGAGAGACTTTTTGTTTGTTTTTTGCCGCAGGAACTGCCAGATGTTAGATTGATGCTTGAAGACACAGAGTTAGAGTCACTTAGGACATTGGGGCTGTCCTGCTAGTTACCGTCTGTGCGATTAGTATGTAATTTCAGTTCTTGGCTGAGAGTTATTTCTTAGTGGCAGAATACTGTACTTTGTAAGTTACATACTCATTGCCACGGTGGAAGATCCATTTCTTAAAAATGATTTGAGACGGGCCCGGTGCGGTGGCGCAGTGGTTAAGGTCCTCGCCTTGCACGCCCGGGATCCCATATGGGCGCCGGTTCTATCCCGGCAGCCCCGCTTCCCTTCCAGCTCCCTGCCTGTGGCCTAGGAAAGCAGTCGAGGACGGCCCAAGGCTTTGGGACCCTGCACCCGCGTGGGAGACCTGGAAGAGGCTCCTGGCTTCGGGTCGGCATAGTATGGGCCCGTTGCGCTCACTTGGGGAGTGAATCATCGGACGGAAGATCTTCCTCTCTGTCTCTCCTCTCTGTATATCTGCCTTTCCAGTAAAAAATAATAAAAATAAATCTTAAAAAAAAATGATTGGAGGCAATTGCCTCCAACTTTCTGGTAATTGTTTCAAACTATCCATGTCTGGAATTTAATACAGATTGTAGGTTATTTTTTAATTTTAGAATTGTGCAGCTAGATATTTTACTAAATCGATTACTTTTTTAGGCATGCATTTTTATAGGAAATGGTTTGCCTCTGGTGTCTGAGGACAAAAAAATGCTTGTTTATGTTATTAATTAAGTGGATGAGCTTATGATCTATTTCAAACTAGCTTTTTTTTGTTTTTCACTTACGTTTGCTGAGACTGTGAAATTACTGATTTCAGATTTTAATGGACCAAGGATTGAAGGAGAGTGACCACCAGATTCTAAAGCGAAGACTTCGAGCAAAAATGGAGAAATGAATGGCTCATGGAGGACATTACAATGTAACTTTATGTGTATAATCATTGTAACGTTCAGCTCTACTCTATAAAGATAACTCTGTATATTATGGTTCATTAAATACCTCTATATAAAACAGTAATCTCTATACATAGTGTTATTTTAATGCAATAAAGAAAGTAAGTTAACAGTTTGTCTGCTTTTTAAACCTTTTCAAAAACAGATTCTTGGGCCTGATGCTGTGGCTCAGTAGCTAAATCCTTGCTTTGCATGTGCTGGGATCCCATATGGGAGCTGGTTCTAATCCCGGCAGCTCCACTTCCCATCCAGCTCCCTGCTTGTGGCCTGGGAAAGCAGTCTAGGACGGCCCAAAGTCTTGGGACCCTGCACCCGTGTGGGAGACCCGGAAGAAGCTCCTGGCTCCTGGCTTTGGATTGGTGCAGCTCTGGCCATTGTGGTCACTTAGGGAGTGAAACCAGTGGACCGAAGTTCTCTGTTCTGCCTTTCCAATAAATATTTTAAAAATCTTAAAAAACAAAAATGACAAAAACCAGTTTCTTTCCAAGTAGCCTATGTTTCCACTTTGGAGCAGTGAAGATCCTAGCAAAGACGCTGTCATTCTCATGTGTTTTTCTACACATGATGTCATAGGCTGATTATTCAGTTTCTCATATTTAATAGTGTCTGCTAGACTGTGCAACTGACTTTAAAAAAACAAAAAGAAGATGTACTAATTTTATTTGAAGGGCAGAGTCGGGGAGAGAGGAAAGGGCAGTGGAGACCCTTCATCTCCGTCAGTCCCCCGGCGGCCGCAGGAGCCTGGGACTGCAGCTGCACCTCCCGCCTGACTAACGTCACCTGCTTCGTACTTGGGCTCAGCAACAAGTGTGTTAGAGCTGGTACCCACGTGGGATGCCTCCCTCGGAGGTAGCTGCTTCATCTGTTACGCCACACTCCTGTCCTCTGTAACCCGATCTTTACCTAACTGGTTTATAATTAGGATTAAGGGAATAAGTGTGTGTAGATCTTCTGTTTGCCAAAACCATGTATGCAAATTATTTCCTCCTTGTAGAGCTAGAAGCTCATGCGAGCTGACTTGAACCCCTGCTGCCCCACTTTGGACCCAGCGGCCTGCAAATTCACACGGAAGGCAGTGGGAGAGGGCCTGAGTGCTTGGGCCGCTGCCACCCCGTGGGAAAGCAGCATGAACCCCAGATCCTGGCTTTGGCAAGGCTCAGCCCTGGCTAATGCAACCGATTGGGAGTGAGCCCGCACGTGGAGGCTCTCTCCCTCTCCCTCTTGGTAACTGCCTTTCAAGTAAGTCTGTCATTCAGACATTAAACATGAAATTCAGACCAGAAAAGATGGAAGAACGAAATGAAAACAGCCGCCGTGTCCTTTGTGTAATTGGAGATCCCAAGTGATAAAAGGAAAAATAGAGCAGGAAGAAAAAAACAATACTTGAAGAAATAGTGATCCAAAATTTTCAACTTCTGAGGAAACGGTGGATCTAGAAGCTTGGCCATTGTCAGGATAGATCCGCACAGAATTACAGCTGCAAACACGGCTGTGAAACTGGTCAAAAAACAGGAAATTTGCGAGCAGACACGCTATTTACAACTACCAGCTAGACGGACATACTTGTAAAATGTTTATTGGATGAAGGACTTGATACAGACGCGTCAACAGAGGCACGCATTCTTACAATGTCATAAGTCATTAGAATTCCCTTTTGGGGGAAAATGTAGGTTTACTTAAGCTGGATGGGCCTCTCGGCGCCATCGGGCAGAGCTGCACAGGACGTCTGAAGCGGCTGCAGGGACAGCACCGCGCGCTGCCTTTTCTGTTTTGGTTTAATACAGGCAAGAGCCAGGGGCAGTCACTGGCTGTAACTCGGTCGCCGGTAGCCGTGTTAGCATCTGCCGCAGGCACACGGGCAACGCAGCGCAGCACGGCACGGCCGGTGCCACCAGGCAACAGGGGTTTCCAACTCACCTCGTGGGATCGTCACTGAATCTATCAGCTTTTCACCAAATTGCTGTTACGCACGCTTGACGTGTGTGAGCACAGATAAGAAACTTAGAGCTGCCGAGAGCACAGCTCCGTGGCTACCAGGGAGGACGTGAACAGATGTTTCCAGAAAGCGACCGACGGAGGAAAAGCAGTGAGATGAGTGACGTGAGGCCAAAGCTGATGATGCCGGGACGAAGGCGCTGCCTCGGGGCGGGCTTGGGAAATGGGACTGAAAGACACGAAGAGGCCAGAGGAGAAGGATTGTTCTATACTTGCATTTTTGTACGTTCTCCACGCGGCTATTAAGCAAATTGTCCATTTGGGTGCATTTTATCATGTACTTTGCATTGTTAGCATACATAATGAATTACTATTTCATAGAGACCAGGATAGCTAAAGCTAGAAAAACTAGCAAAAGTAAGTGAAAATCTCAAACAGTGGCATACCTTTTTTTTTAAAAAAAAAGTTGCTATAAACTAAGTTTGTTCCATGTTTTCCTGCTCCCTCTGCTGCTTCTCTTATTAAATTTCTGTACTTATTTGAAAGAGTTCTAGAGCCCTTCCCTGGCTTACACCTCGGATGGCCGCAGCCAGGTGTCAGGAGCCTCCTCTGGGTCTCCCGCATAGGGAGCAGCGTTCCAGACACCTGAGCCATCGTACACTGCTTTCCCAGACCACAGGCAGGGAGCTGGATGGGAAGCAGGGCAGCAGGGTCCAGCGCCGTAGCCTAGCAGCTAAAGTCTGTCTCACATGAACCGGGATCCCATATGGGTGCCGGTTCTAATCCCAGCAGCCCTGCTTCCCATCCAGCTCCCTGCCTGTGGTCTGGGAAAGCAGTGGAGGACAGCCCAAAGCTTTGGGACCCTGCACCCGCATGGGAGACCCAGAAGAGGCTCCTGGCTTCGGATTGGCTCAGCTCCAGCTGTTGCAGCTGTTTGGGGAGTGAATCAACGGGCGGAAGATATTCCTCTCTGTATATCTGACTTTACAATAAAAATAAATCTTAAAAAAGAAAGAAAACAACGAAAGTGGAGGCAGCAGGACACAGACCCTCTGTGGAATGTCTGCGTCACAGGCCCCAGTGTAACACTCTGTCACCATAGTGACCCCTCCCTCTGTTCTTGAGTATAACAGGAGATCATGTGATCCAACATCATGGCTTAGTAGGCTAAGATTCTGCCTGTGGCGCCAGCTTCCTACATGGGCACCTGTTCATTTGAATCCCGGCAATTCCACTTCCCATCCAGCTCCCTGCTTGTGGCCTGGGAAAGCAGTCGAGGACGGCCCAAAGCCTTGGGACCCTGCACCTGCGTGGGAGACCCATTGGAGGCTCCTGGCTCCTGGCTCCAGATCAACTAAGTTCTGACTGCTGCCATTTGGGGAGTGAACCAGCAGACTGAGGGTCTCCTTGTGTTTCTCCTTTCAAACAAAATTTTTTAAAAAAAATCCTTAAAAAATGTTTTTAAAAACAAATATTTTCAAGAATGTTTAGAAGAAACTTTAAAAAATGTATTTATTTTTATTGGAAAGGCAGATTTATAAAGAGGAGAGACAAAGATCCTCCAGCTGCTGGATCACGTGGAACTGCGTCTCCCACGCGGGTGCAGGTCCCAAGGCTTTGGCTGTCCTTGACTGCTTTCCCAGGCCGCAAGCAGGGAGCTGGATGGGAAGCGGGGCTGCCGGGATACCGAGCAGTGCCCATATGGGATCCTTGAGTATGCAAGGCAAGGATTTAGCCACTAGGCTATTGCACCGGGCCCTTGGAGAAAACTTTCATAATTGAAAGAAATATCTAAAGGAAAATGATAGGGGCTGGAGCAATGGCTCAACCTGCTAATCTTACACTTCCAAGCTCCGGCATCCCACTTGGGCGCCAGTTCATGTCCCAGCTGCCGTGCTTCCCATCCAACTCCCTGAATGTTTCCTGGGAAAGCTGCGCAGGAAGTCCAAGTGTTTGGGACCCTGCATCATGCTGGAGACTTGGAAGAAGCTCCTGGTTCCTGGCTTCAGATTGGTTCAGCTGTGGCTGTTGCGGCCATTTGAGAAGTGAACCAGTGGATGGAATTTTATTCCGTGTCTCCTCCTTTTGGTAAGTCCGCCTTTCCAATGAAAAGAATTCATTAAAAAAAAAAAAAAGGAACATGGTAACTATTATCTTGATTTTCAATAGTATAGAATGAAAAATGTTATATATTCATTGACCTTATGCAAAATTGCATTTGTGATATTATCTGTATGTGGTTGTATTTTTCACTTTTATTGCTATATCCCATTATATATTCCGTAGGTTTCCAGTTTGGGACTATTTACAATTCAGAGAATTACCGCTGACAGTGCAATCCCATGAGCGTCCACCAGGTGGAGACAAAGCCCTTCTCAGTGCAAGAGTCTCTGGAAAAATGACGTTTGTGTCTGCACTATGTCCAATTTATGTAATGTAGCAAGCAGGGCAGAATTGTGGGAAAACGAATAAAGTTATCTTTTGTGCTGTTGCTTGCCAACCAAAGAAATTCTTGTCACTTCTCAGGAAAATTCCAGGAATGAATTTAAAAAAAATATCATGTGGCTGAAAATATGCCATTCACCCAATTACCTGAAATATTCTCAACTTTTTCTTGAGTCGTTTTTGATAAACCATCTATAAGAAGAGGGTAAGGATTTTCATATACTACAGAGTGGGATATTTTAAAAGAAGGTCACTCCAAGTATTTGTGCAGATAGAAATCACCAGCACAAGAAAATTAAGATACATTGCTCACAGGCCTGATTAAAACAGGAAACGTGCAGATGGAATTGTGTGGTTTAGATTTACTCTTATTTTACGCTGAAGTCTGAAGAACTCGATTGGCAGTTTCCGTTTTTCTTTCTGCCTCTCTCTATCCCCTCCCGGCAGGTGGCCCGCAGTGAGCCCCTCTCCGTCTTGGGCCTTCCGGGGGCTCTGAGGGCAGTGTTTGCACAACACCACAGCCCTCCCAGGTTCCGGGTGGCGGCAGCTGTCGCAGGTGGGCAGAAAGGACCAGTTGGTGACCCTGAGCCAACCGCCTAAGACCACAACAGTTTTAGGCCAAATAT